TGTGTCATGTGTGGGTGGTTGGTTGAGGTCATCCTAAAACCCTAGGGCCCAAGCCCTAAACCGTTCTCAATGCCAACGCCAGGCCATTCACTCGCTCCCAAAGGCCCTAAGGTGAGCGTGTCAGGGCCAAGCGCTAAGAATTTCCAGAATTCCTAGACTGAGAGGCAAGCGACAAGCGAAAAATTGAAGCCCTGATCCGGGAACCGTCTAGAGTCTAAAGTCTAAACAAGTCTAAACTAAACCCGAAACCCAACCAAGGGTTCAGGGTGTTGCGCAATCCCTTTCTTCAACTCAAGTTCTGAAGATAGAACTGACTCTCATCTGGGGGTGTAGCTTTTGGGGTTAGGTATCGCTTTCAGATTTCAGATGATGACCCATGTCAACCTGTAGTCTTCGGCCCAATCAATTCTGAGAGGGGCGTGTCATCGGGCCACCACAAGCCTCCAAGAAATGGTTTATAAGGCCTAAAGGGTGCACCATCAGCAGCCCAAAGGCCGACATGACATGCCTTGGGCCTTAAATAGGAGGAGCCGACAAACCCAGGATTAGACTGCCACCATTACTTTACACAAAGTAGGTTTTAGGTTTAGGTTGTTTATTGTCAGCACGCGCGCTGCACGGACGATATTTGGAGTCCACAATGCCGACTCCAAGCCACCATGCTAGAGCACCACTCACCACACCATACCCAAAAAAAACAAGGGTTTAGGAGTGTTTAGGGCTCAGGGTTCAGTGTGGGGTCTGATCCCCCCCAAAGCCCAACCCAAGATCTCAAGCCTCAAGGCCCTAAATTGGAGCAGGGCCCGGGCTGATGACCACGTGTCCGGCGCCGCGTGCCTGGGGCAGCCAGACAAATGCCCCAGGGACCAGCTAAGGATTGTAAGCCCACCCCCTAGTTTAGAGTAGAAGGGCTTAGGGCGTAGGGTTCGGAACCCAATAAGGTCGAGAGTCTAGAGCAGAGCTGTTATAACTTAAAGTTTAAAAGCTCCTATCAGATCCCTGTCCCTGTCCCGGACTGAACCAGGGCTTAGGGTTCAGGGCTTAGAGGCTCAGGAGTTTAGGGGTTTAGGGTTTAGGGTTTCCTCGAAGCCCTCGTGCTTCTACGGCTCCACGACTGCCGGCAGAATCGCGACTGCTCTCCGGGATGAGCGTCTGTCGATGTCATCGTTGCCTGCACCAGCGCTGGTGGTGCTTCTTGCGTGACCGCAAGGCATGGCGTTGTCTGTCCATTTGCCGATAGGAAGGGTGGCAGCGAGTTCATGTCCAGTCGCCCAACATCGCTGTGTAGCCGCTGGTTTTCCCGTGCCCTCTGCGACCATGCTCTGCGACCATACCACCACTTCGAAGCTCCGGGTTCCGGAGAGGGTTAGAGCATCGGGACTAACGACTCATGTCACTAGGGGTCCGCAGGGCTCAACGCACCGGGCAGGCCTTAGGGGGGTGGGGTGTGGGCAACCCCAAGAGGCAGTTAGGGCCATAGGGATTAGGATTGGTTGCTGTAGGGTTCACAGAGATGGGGCATTAGGGAAGGGGAGTGGGAACACGGGACAACCACTGCTTCTCGGGGGGCCAGCGGCGGGGGGTTCGGGACCTAAACCCCAAGAGGCACTTAAGGGCCGTAGGGTTTTAGGATTGGTTGCAGTAGGGAGGGCTTAGGGTCCTAGGCCTGGGGTTCAGGCCAGGATGGGTCGCGAGGCTCGGGCAACACAATTTAGGGCGGCCGGCGAGGGGTTCGGGAAGTGGGGGCGGGGCGGGCTAGGGTACCCAACCGAAAGTCCTAGTCCTAGCAGTCCGAGATCCGAATACCGGCCCTGAGAGCCTGAACCCTGAACCAAAACCCTGCTAAGTGAATGCGCTGGTCCAGCCCTGAATCGGCCCCTAACGTCTGGCCTTCCACCAGCCAAGCAGAGCAGCTCAGCAGCTCGCGGCCAAGCCTCAAGAAAGGGTTTAGGGTCTAGAAGGGTGCACATGCCTGGGGCCTTAAAGTAGGAGGAGCCGACGAATCCAGGATTAAGGGGCATGGGGTTTACGGAATGATGGTTTAGGTTTAGTTAGCTTGCATATAGGGTTCCGGGTTTTGCGCGGCGCAATCCCTTTCTTCAACTCAAGTTCTGAAGATAGAACTGACTCTCATCTGGGGGTGTAGCTTTTGGGGTTAGGTATCGCTTTCAGATGATGACCCATGTCAACCTGTAGTCTTCGGCGCAATCAATTCTGAGAGGGGCGTATCAGCCACCACAAGCCTCTGATCCTCCCCGAAGCCCGAAGCCGTTGAGCCCTCAACCCAAGATCTGAAGCCCCGAGCCCCCAACCCCAAAGGTCTGAACACGCACTCTCTGGGCCCTGTGCCCGAATGAGAAGTCAGTCATGTCGCAGTCGTCGTAGAAGTTGAGGTCGATGTGGAGGGGCCAGGACCAACGAAGTGGCAGGGGATAAAACGTTCGATTCAAGTTTGGGGAGAAGGGTTGATTTGAATTTCCGAAATTTCAGACTCAACACATTTGGCCGGCTGAGTTGAATCGACCTGCACACTGCACTGCACCCCCCTGACTGGCACGTATTGTGTGGTTGAGCGTGACTTGTCTCCCCAGAGGGCTGAGGGGCACTGAGGGTTTATTCATATATTGACTTGCTTCAAACATGTGGAAACACATGAGTGCATCAGGACGTGCGGCCATGAGGAATCAACTTGCTGCGACTGCGACATCACACTGGCGAAAGGGTCAGGCAGCACTGGCATGTGTCACTACAAACTAATCTACAGAATCTACGGGTAAGGGTTCGTTCCAAACGGCCCAGCCCCAGCGTCGAACCTGCTTCAGCAGCTTGAGCAGCCGCGGCGGCGGGAAGCGCCGCACCAGCCGCGCCTGGCCCAAAGACCCAACGACAAGCTCTATATCTCAAAGGTTTAAGGCAAGTTTGGGTCTTATAGGCTTTAGGAATTTAGGCATGTGAATTTCTCTGGTGTTACGCGGTGGTCAGGGTCTTACTCTAAAAAACTCACGCGACTCACGAATAGAGGGGCTTGAATTGACGAATGCTGCTATGAATGAGCTGGAGGTCGGGAAGTCAGGCCCAGTCAGGTAGGGATGAGGTTACATCTGAACCACTGCACGAAACACGGAGAGGCCTTGTGCCCCAGCAGCAGCGCTGACGCGGCCACGGCGCATCCTTCCTGGCGATCATGTTGAAATGAATGAACTCGGGAAGTTCGGGACACGTTCTTCTGCTGTTCTTGGGTGCCCGGTTTCTCAAGTTTCCCATCCTCTTTTGCGTCACTTCGGGGGCCCAGCCTGTGGCCCGAGAGCCGAGAGCCTCGCCAAGGCCGCCAAGGAAGAGGTATGCGAAGAAAGCGCCCCAGAGCAGAGCCTGGCGGCCTGGGGGCTGCCGGACACACTGACACACAGCACATCACCTGACCAGAGCACTTGGACCTTTACACTTTACCCCTTGCACTGTGTTCTACTGTGTTATACTGTGTTGTACTGTGTTGGCCCAGGGGGCGGATCCAGCGCATAAATGGCAGAGGCTGTAGTTGTGGCTGGCACACTTTGCTGACCTATCTTCTGGACCTCTCTAAGTTTATATGATTAAGCTAAACCCAAAGAAACTTGGTGCATGGCTTCCTTCTAGTACGAAGTTGCTCAAGCCGCCTATGCTCAAAAATGGTACCAGCCAGGCACATTCACTCTCAGGCCCCGGCAGCTTGTGACTGAAGCGAGTCAGCATCGGCATCGACATGAGCGGGATTCTCAAGTGTTCCCGTCGCTTTACAGGGTTTGGCATCAGTCAAGATACGAGAGGATACTCGAGTCTGTTGGCTGGGGAAGAGCTTGTGGTGGTTGTCCCTTACACAGCTTTCCGACTTAGGAAAACCAAGTGCCTCAAACAAAACGCCTGGAAGGCAAAACAGCCCCTGGTTTAGGAGTTTAGGGTTTAGGGTTTAGGGTTTAGGCTTTAGGGTTTAGGGTTCTGAAGTCACTACTGACCTGGCAGAGTGGGCACTCACAAAGCTTTGCATGCTGAGCCCGGAACGCCGGACGTGCTGCAAATGGTGGATTTCATGGGAGCATCAATCATCAAACTTGCAAGGTTTAATCACCTTCATAGCAGCAAGGAGGCCACGACGTGCAAACAATGATGCAGTCTGCTTCGTATGTGATTAGTTTCAGTTAATTGAATCATGGCTAGATCATGCACGGGCTGGTGTTGGTGTGCATTTTTCATCACATGTGGGAGTGATTTGCATCTTTGAAAAGAAACAAAACTTCTGTTTTCCCTGATAAATGTTTGTGTGTCATTTTTACTCCCGCCCTGCCTGCCATCCCCCCCCCCTCCAAATCTCTGTCTTCTGTTTTATTTGTGAAGTTTGTGTGCTTCCAACTTATCTACGAGATTACAGGAATCAAGCAACACAGGCTAAATACAACACTGAATTTTGATGGGGGTGGGCGCACTGTCGCAGTGCTTCCCCCACCCCTCCCTCCTTTTTTGTTTGGCACTCTCTGGGCGGGGCGCGTCGCACTCTCCGGGCGGGGCGCCACAGCGCTTCTATAGGGTTTAGGAGGGTGGGTTTATCAAAGGGCCAGTGCTCTCACAGCGCTGGTACCAGGGTTTAGGAGGGTGGCTTTAGGGTTTAGGGTTTGGGGTTTAGGGTTTAGTTTAGGGTTTTAGGGTTTAGGGCCTAGGGTGTAGGGTTTAGGGTTTAGGGTTGAGTAATACACATGTGCTATATTTTGCACTTTACCTGGTTTTGGAGTTATGTGCAGGTTTGGGGCGTGCCCGTGTTTTAGCTAACTCAAATTTGAAAACGTGAATCAGAACGCTTCTGAGTTTTGAGAACTAGTGCAAAACACTTATTTTGCTCTCTTTTTTTAAAAAAGTCTAAAACCCACCAGCAAGAAACTTAACACCTTGCAATTTCATTTCCCCTGAGCGTCATTTGGTGGATTTGTTTTGATTGTGCTAGACTTGGGTGAATGTACTCTGCAGCAAAGCAGGAGCCGTTTCTACTTTGCGGACCTTGGCGGGTCCGAGCAGCTGTCAAAGAGTAAGGTCGAAGCAGCTAAGGCCCGATGTATGTCTTTTGCAAGAGGCGATAAGGCCCTACTGCATGCAGGTTTGTACATGACATTACATGACCCATGAGTTGCAGCATTTTGCAGCATGTTGCAGCATGTTGCAGCTACTTGTATGGACGAGTTATGGATAGGCTTGAGTGGTTCGCCCGGCATTGCAGCATTCCCGGGAACGAAAAGGAATTCCGAATTGAGACGGGTGCTTCTTTGCATGGTGTGCTTGTCGACAGTGTTGGGAGGCCAAAGTCACGGTTGTCGGCGGCGAAGAGCAGTGACTTCTGCGAATTGAGAAATTACGTCCCGCTTGCGTTCAATCTTAGTCCACCTGTTGCGCGAGGGATGCAGGCTGCTACTGGGTTACTGGGTACTGCCCGAATGCGCAGTGCTTGTGTGACGTGTATGATGTGCTCTTCTTGGCTGTCTGCCACCTCATGACGACAGGAGCCGCATCTCCTGGCAAGAGTTCTATCTCCAACGACAGAGGATCCAGGAAACAATGAACATCAACAAGGCTGACGTGTGCAGCCATTTGATCGTGTATGTTACACCGTAGAAATCACTGGCTGTGGAACAACGGGACTCCTCTGCACTGTCATCCCTAAGCTGGCTGGAAGATGCCGAAAGCAGAGTGTCCTCCCACTGCAGGGTCTCTTTTCCCTCAAGCGCGTCATCGAAGTACTGCACAGGTCGGATGATTGCTCATGATTGCACAATGCGTAGTCATGGCAAGTTCTGGACGTAGTGACGGCTTCGCCTTGTTTAAGGGTCGGCGGCTCCAAAAACCGTACCCTTAAAGCGCCCTGGAAAATTCCCGAAGCAACCCGACAAAATCCTGAAAAGCCCTGAGGCCTCAAGTAAGGCTTAAAACCCCCAAACCCCAAAACCCCACCCTGACTCCAAGACTGCCTCCGCCTCCCCCCTCAACCTTCCAAACGCAGAAAGTCACAAGAAATGACCTGGTCCAGCAATGTCCAACATGTATGTGGATATATATATATATAGATATGTACATATATATATATATATGTAAATATACATATATGTATCAATATACATTTGTGTATACGTTGTCGGCGAGCTTGCGGCAGGCGTTCTCGTATGGCAGCTGAGGGCGTGCCATCGCATGCGCCAGCACCTTTTCGGGGACGGGCGACTGTGCATGCCACTCTGACGTGTGCCAGAAAACTGGAGCTGTACCAGCCACAGATTTGTCCTGACAGTCCAAAGCATTGATTCTGAGGCTTCCGTACGTTCCTTATCAGGACTCCAAGCTTACGTGTGCCGGGCGTGCTTGCATGAGAACACAGTTCGTTCACATTGAGAATTGTGAGAATTTTTACCAGTTGCCAGGATGCTACTCCAGGAAGCTTTGGGTGGCTCAGCGGAGCCCTGAGCCGTGCCGCCACTGCTCTAGTCAATTCTAGTCACTTTCCTCTGAGGCGGCATATGGCGCAGCCAAAGGCGTATCATATAATCAGCAGCACGCATTTTCTGACAGGTTCTGCCTTTGCGAAGGTAGTTGACGTTAGCTTCATTGAGGCGTCTGGCTTCGGTGTATAGTATCTGCGGGTTCATGCCTTTGGCACTTTTAACGCCTCCGGTCGGAACGTCGAACCCAGCCTGATTCTGGCCACGCTAAGCTATTTAAAGCCGGCTGCCTTTGGCTGGTTGATCCTGAGTGTCTCGCATGCTGTTTGTTGCCGTCTGCGCCTCCTCTCGCAGGGGTGTCTACTTGCGGATCAGGTGACACTAGCTGGATTTTTTGGTAGGTTGACGTTCCTGCGAGCGCCCGCTCAGCCCTCGGCTTGCCATGCTACTTACTGAGGCACGAACCTTGATCATCACTACTGCAACAATGGATCCCGCACATGCGGAGGACAAAGCTTGCATATCACAACGTTAAGCCTTCTTAGTTGAAGAACGGTGCGTTGTCGTCGTCGGAGGGGGGGGGGGGGGGGGGGGGGGGGGGGGAGGGGGGGGGGGGGGGGGGGGGGGGAGGGGAGGGGGGGGGAGGGGGGGGGGCCAGCCCCGCCTTTAAAGAATGATTCCCCATGGGGCTCTGAAAATCCAAGCTCCCTATCCGCTGACCCAGGCTTCGGCTTTTGGCGTGAGGTTTAGTGTTTCGTGTTGCGTGTTTAGAGCTTGATTGCGATCTTCTGCTGCGCAGGGCTGGGCTTGGGTTTAGGGTCTATAGGACTTAGGGTGTCTAGGCTTGCTTCAAGTCAAGAATTTTCAGGGGGCTAGAATGAAAGCTGATCCGTGCTTGGACTTGGTTCTGGTGGCACGACGACCCGGCCCTCTGATTTGATGCAGATCAAGCCACAGAACGCAAAACACAGGTGGCCCTCGAAAAGTAGCACCATCACAAAGTCACGCCCAACCGCACACACCATCGCAAAGGACTCTCTGTCTTGCCTCTGGCAGCGGTGCACGCACATGTCTCCCCTCCCTTGAGGCCCCCCTCCTCCCCGGTTCATTGGGCCCTCGCTTGTGAATCTTATAGGCCCCTAACCCTACAACCCAAAAAGCCTAAACCTAAACTCCCAAACCCGCAGCCTAGCTTACATTTCAGTGGGATCGCATTCCTTCTGTCAGGTTAGGTAGCCAGAACGCAAACCTCATTTTACTTTCTAAGTATCCAGGAAGTATAGCTTTTGGAACCCTTAGTCAAGAGCATGTACGAGGAAAAGCTGACAGTAGGAGAGCGTTCTAATTAACTGTATATGCCGAGTCGCACGGATGCCCCTTTTGCACAGGAGTCTTTGCAGACATTGCGTTTCGCCTTGGTCCAAGACAATTCAAGACATTCAAGATGTTGCAAAGACATGTTTCCGGCGACCAGCTCCGATGATGGTATTTGCGTGGTGAGGCAGAGACGTGCGCCCAGGCGGCAGCCTTAGAGATCCTTAGAGATGTTTGCGCCGATTGACATCTTTGCACCCTGAGAAGAACCTTTTCGCGAACACCGCGAGCCCCATGTCCGGGAAGATGTGAACGGGGCCAAGGTTCAGAAACGTCTGGAGGCAGATCAGGCCTTTTGCAAGAGTTGAATCATTGCGATGGATCCCCTCCAATGGCCCGAATGGTCACAACGGGGTCGCATATGTTGACAGATTCATACAAATGCCTAGTTTTCTGGAAGACCAGTCTCTTTCGCGCAAGCTTCTGAGTGAGCACAAACAGTTCAGTGGCACATTCGAGGCCGGGGGCATTTTAGAGCACTCGTGGGAATTGGGAAAGAAGGGCAGGGCAGATAGGCTACATACGTACTGAAGATCGAGTTCTTGGAGACAGGAGACCCTGGCGGGATCTAGGCTGCGGGAGAAGCGTGTGCCCACAAAAGCAACGTTTTCACAGGTTGTGAGTCCGAGGGGTGTCGCATCGAAACATTAGAGTTTCGTTTGGGATTACTGGGCAGAGCAGAGGGCGGCTAAGTGTATTTTCTCTAGAAAAGCCGATGTAACTTAGGATCCCGCTAGAACTGCCTCACAGATTCGCACGGGCAAACAATGAGAAGATTGAGAAGATTGATTCAACCTACGTTGGGGTATTGAGGTGGTGCGGGGGATGTCGAGCGCACATGGGCAGACAACAGTCAAGAAACGGAAACAGAACGACTCAGAAGGCAGACCAGTCCAACATCGCAGAGTCCCAGACCATCGTGAAACGTCCTGCCATGCTCAATCGTTCCTGTTTACGGCCGCTTGCCTTTGCACGCATTTTAATAGATTTTCAATAGTTCTGGCCTTTATGCTTTTGTTCTGCTGTTTCAAGACCCTCCGGCTCAACGTTTATGGGGCTTGGCCAAGCTTGTGCAAGATGTGGCGATGACGAAGAATTTCGCCTAAGTTTCTCTGGAGGCTGCCTCCATCACTGTTGCGCTGGACAAGATTGAGCAGGTTCCACCTACTCACATCCTGCCCGTGATGTGGTTTTGCATCATGAATTTGTAGTGTACAGTAATGGTGTATGACAGCATGTAACTCAGACTTCATCTCAAGTAACCCCTCCGAAGACCGCCTTTTCATCCATAGCGTTCTGATGCCTACAGCCCCTGGCCAAAAGTTTCGAGCTATACAGACCCTCTAGCAAGCTGCTGTAGAGGGTGCTGAGACTCCTGAAGCTGCTGGGCCGAACCACCGGGATTTTCACAGCATGCCTAACTGCTGCGAGAACATCAGTCAAGCTTTGAAGTCTGGTGGTTTCGCGAGAGTTGCGAGCAAGCACTGGGCGTTAACATGATCAAGCGACGGCCCCTGACATCTGGTTCATTGTGTAACCATCGGCAGCGCGCTCTTGTTTTGACATTGCGCGATCAGGACATCAAGGCACTTCAGGCAGAGATCACCCAGAAGGACCCTTGTGAAGCTATCTGGGGCGGCCTTTATGTGGGCCTTCCTGTGCACAACATCAACGTGCATGCCAATGCAGCTGTAAAACTGTACAGCTCAGGCACTCCAACTTCATGGGGTTCAAGTGTGATGCTTGACTGGGGTGTCTAGTTCCAATTTGGTCTTGCGTTCCACAGGTATCGCTAGACCGCTAGACGATCCATGAGCAGATGATTGAGCCCTTGGGGGGCCAAAGCGGGTCGGCACAAGTGTGAGTGCCCAAAAAGAGCAGCAAAGGGGACACCGACATATCCAAGACCAAGCATGCATTTCAGTTTCAGTCCAGCGTGTCACGAAGAGGATGCACGCAATTTGTGGTTCCGGTCTTCATCGCGTCGCTGCGATTGCAGCAGATGCAGCAGTGTCATAGGAGCATCACAGACGCAGCACAGCATGTTCCGGTTCCACTCAAACCCCACAGTGCCCACGAGTTTTTTGCATGCTCGGCCCTTATAGCATTCACAAATCGGAATCCGAAACCAAAGCCAAGACATTCCGAACCACAACTGTGCCGACATGGCATGTAAATCAAGAAGCATTTAAAGTGCGGAAAAGCTGCGCAACGAACGCTTGAGAGGAGCGCTGGGAGACACGCCTCCTGCGGCGCAGAGACGTAGACACGGTGGCTGGCGAGTTCGGTGAGCCGGGGCTCCGAAATGCTCCGAAATGCTCCGATCTCCTGCAAACCTCAATGTGGTTTGGGTCTCTTCCGGAGTCTCAGAGTCTTAGTTCGTCCAGAGTGCCCATCCGGTACAAAGATTTGATAGAATGGGGTTGGGTCAGAGCAGCATTGTAGACCAGGCCCATGTGCAAACAGGTGAGCATGAATTGTTTGGCTCCGATCCGAACCAAACAGCCTTTGGCCAAGCCGACGGGAGCCCGGC